TGTCAAAATGAAGAACAAAATTAGGGTACAAACCTAAAAGGGCCTTATCCAGAAGTCAGATAGGCTCAAAAATCTCTCTTTTTCAGAGTCAAACCCTATCAACTTTTAAGCCCCTTTTGGAACAAAATCCGACGACCAAAATATCTTCTTCTGGGGTTAATTTATACACTTTCGAAGTCTGTTCCAAAGTTCGAACTCTACTGAAAAGGCGACTCTTCCCTACATTGCCACGTGAATTTACACGAACCCTACATAAAATTATGTGTAAAATATTTCTTGGTCCCTTAGATTTTTTACGTGCATAGTAATTTAATAATTTATTCCAAAGGAAAATTAATTGACCAGCTGGCAAAGACGTGACACTTCCTTGATTTTAACTTTACTGTTAAATATATAGAAAGATTATTATAATTCAATAATTAGGGATTTACTAAAAATTGTAAGTGGAATTTGCTTTATTTCATTTATATCGAAATAACTATAGAATACGATATATAATAAATATTCAACCACTTTGGACGTGATGCCCTTATTTAAATTTAATTTGCATCACGGTCACAATAAATTTGGTAATGGTATGTTTGCAACTTGTGCGTTAATTTTAATGAAAACAAGAAAATGTTTGAAATGGACAGTGATTAATCAATTTTTTCAGAAATGTTCGTGCGTTTCGCGCCATCTTTTAAATAAAATGTAGAATAAAATATGATGTGATTTTAATTGATGGTGTCTTAGGCTTAACTACAAGAACTTTTCTGGAGATCGAAGAAAAAAAAGAACGTACCAATTTTCGATTTTCGATTTTGACCCGAAAAATACACGATCAAAATGACTATTTGAAGTATTTGAAATCTTCAAAATACCAGTTAGAAATTATAAATAGAAAACAAATAATTGGTATTTCAAAGTGGCCGGTTCATAAATTTTCGCAAGACGAGTTGGTACAAACCTTGGTTTTGCAACATGTATTCCTCAATTATCATGATACTATAAATGTATGTATGCACGTATTATATATTCTCTACAGTCGTTAGACAACAAAATTCTTTCTTAGCACCGTAGCGAGATTCCCGGTCAAATAACCTACCAGCTTCGACCGTCTCATGTTTTCGCAAATCTATGTCTTATTCTTCACTTAAAATCCTACACAAATCCTTTTAATTTAATCATTTCTGTGCAGAACCAATGTTTTGGAAAATATTAATAATGTCAAGTGAGAGAGAAAAACCAAACACAAGGTCAACTGATATATTTTGGACACCTACAAATAATCCCATTATTACTTCTACAATCAATTGATAATTCGCCCATGTTTATTGTCATTATTTTTAAAAAACAATGTTTTGAATATCGATTTTTAGAATAATGTGTAGTTTAAAAATAGGAAAAAGTTTTGAATTTACGTGCGAAATATTTTATTATATGAATATTGTACGTAGAAAAAGAGTTCAAATAATTATTGTCAAACATGAGCTAAATATAAATAGAATGCTTAGCTCCTATTTGCCCCCATTATTTACCATTGTTTGAGATTATAATTTTTGAAATGATATTTTTTTTGAAGAATATGTGATTAGAAAATAAGAAATTGTTACGTGCAATATTATTTTATTGGAGAATGTATAGTTAATAAAAAGAGAGAAAAAAATGGATCAAAATCTTAATGGGGGTCAAACGGGGCTTAACATACTTAGCTACTGTTTGACTTTCATTTTCTTCTTCTAAAGTTTTACTTTTACAAGTTGAAATATTAAATTTATTAATTTTAATTGTATATCTAAAGATGTATTAATTTATTAATCACATATTTCTCATTGCATCACTATTTAAAATATATTCTTTCTTCAATAATATCTATCAAACACAACTTATATATTTTGCTTAGAATTTATAATTTTTTTCCGAACATGGGCCAGACTTTAATTGTAAATAATTATGCACGAATAACAT